TACTCTATAACTGTAATTTTGCTACTGTTATGAATCGTAATGTAAATATCTTTTTGTTTTCCAATGGTCTTAGGCGACCCCTGTGAAAGGGTCGTTTGACCCCCAAAGGGGTCACGACCCACAGGTTGAGAACCGCTGCTCTAGAGAGATGAGAAAACATCAGGTTTGAAGAGAAGTTCACAGAGCCTGAATGAAAACCTTGGTCTGACTCTTCATTCCCCCAGAGCAACAACAACCTCACCATTTAGCCATAGCCCTGGCCCCCAAACCCTCTGCTCAGGTGGGCCGGGAGAACCAAGATAGACCCCACCCCCACCCCAGCCTTTCCCAGCCCAGCTGAGAGCAGGGGGCTTGACTCCTTCCCTGTGGAGGGGCCATGAGGGGACCAGATGGCCTCTTGAGGCCCTTCCTGCTCAAATCCAGGGCAGGGCACAATTGCTAGGTTCTGGCTCTCCTGGGCCTCTGGGAAGGGTTAAGCTGCAGGAAGCAAGGTAGTCACAGGTGCCCACGCCCAGCCCAGCCTGGAGAGTTTGGGAAATCGCCCTGCATAGAGCTGACTAGGGAAGTAGGACAGCCAGACAGGTGTGTAGGCTGGGGCGACGCTCTCCGTCTGCTAGGGGAAAAAGGAGGCTAGAGAGCAGCCGAGGACAGCCAGAGCCTGGGAGGGCGTATGAGTTTCCATGGCTGCTGAAACACATTAGCACAAACAGTGGCTTAAATCAACACACAGTTATCTTACAGTTCTGGGGCTCAGGAGTTCAAAATGAGTTCTATGGGGCTCAAATTAAGGTATCAACAGGGCTGATTCCTACTGGAGGCTCTGAGGAGAATCTGTTCCTTACCATTTTGTGCATCGAGTTTGCCTGCATTCCGTAGCACAGGGTCCCTTCCTCCATTTTCCAAGCGCATCATTCCCCCTGCTAATTCTATCATCATACTTCCTTTTTTTCTGATTTTGACCCTCTTCTAAAGACCCTTGTGAAGATGTTGGGCCCGCCCAGACAATCCAGGATAATCTCTTCCTCTCAAGACCTTTAATGCAATCACAGTTGCAAAGTCTCTTTTGCCACTTAAGGTAACATATTCCCAAAGTTTCAGGAATGAGGACACGGGCATTTGTGGG